GTTAACCAGGGTTCAAAGTCCAAAGCGCGAGGAAAATCTGCGCTGATACAGTCGTCAGTTGCTCAGTCACATTTTTATTAATTTTTACAAGGCATGTGACAATGCGATACGTGCGACGTATTCGTAATGAGACTCATTTATAAATCTGCTGCTGTCAACAAAAAGAAGCGCTGAGGTCTTCCTGCGTGTTTACGTCAAAATAAAAGTTGAGAAAAAGCAAGAACTCTTATCAACATTCATAAATGTTAGTATTGTAATTTTACTGTTGTTCTGTAAAATAAAATAAAAAGTAAGACAATAATAATGATAATAATTTAAACAGCTCTGTTAATACATTTATTATAACATTCACACATAGTGTTCAAATTGGGATCTGTAATATTTTCTAATGTTTTAAAAGAATATTCTTCTGCTCAGCAAGGCTGTTTTTAATTGTACAGTTAAAAATACATGCCTGATTCAAGAAGGGGGTCTGATGGCCAAAAAAATATTATTTTACTAACTTATTAATTTTGAGGTTAAATTGTGCTTTGTTGGTATAACTATAATGCCTGCTAGAATGTTAAAAAAAAAATTCAGTGTTAAATACTTTTAAATTGTTGTTTTGTAATAGATTGTTTCTTTGAAAAGCAAGACAAAACAGTAAAAAGCACATTTTGGCTATTTAATTTGTGCAGTGGTGAAAAAAATTGGCAAAATACATGGGGGGAAAAAAACCTCGAAAAACCTTGTTTGGTATTCGGCCTTCGGCCCAGTATTTCATTTTGTTCGGTTTCGGCCAAGAATTTTCATTTTCGGTGCATCCCTAGTTGTATGTAGGACAGACACTCTTGCGCTCAATTCCTGACTGCTCCAAATTCAGACACGTTAATAAATCATGAAGGTACAAAGCTCGGTTGTTTGTATGTATTACTGCAGATATACGAGAACAAACCGCAGAGTTCAGATTTCTTGCAAAGTTTCATCATAGCATAAATGCATGATTTAAAAGCGAAATGTTCAGCGAGTGTAACAAAACTTAAATTATTAATCTACAAAAGCGCTTTCAGCAGATGTTTTTCGACTGTATGTTAGGAATAAATCTGGAGCTATTGCTGAATTTCGTACAACACTCCTAGTCCCTAGCTGTGGTGGAACTTCTCTACTATCACATGAAGTGACTCTTGAATGGAGCAATCTCCTGCAGACTTAAGAAATCAACGATTACTCATGGTCCAAAACATAACTTTCTTTTTCTTTTTTTACAAGGAAAACTTTATTATTTTTCCTTCTGATACAAAACCTTATGGTTTTTATTATTACATATTGTGCATTTCCCTACGTGCTATGCGCAGAAAATTATTACATTGATTCCATCCAAAATAGCTTTCTTCTGGAATATTTTATAAAGATCTATGAATACTATTATCCAACATAGGGATGCCCAGAAGGCATCTGCAGAAAAGTTCTGTGCTGTAAATCAGCAGTAAAGGATTTAAACAATGGCAAGATGTGTTAGGCCTAAACGGAGCAGAAAGTACTCTTATTGGAAGCTGAAAGATTAATCAAATTAGCCAAAATATTTAATAACCATAAACAAAAGAAGTTGGAGATGTGTAGATCTTCCAAATCTTGTGGTAAGTACAACTACTACTGGTTCCCCTACACTGTTCCCACTGGCAATAAAAGAGCTACTATCATAATATGGAGGAACATAGGTAGATGTGTAAATGCTCCACTATATAACAGGAACCCATCACACACAGAAACATGCCTCTCTCACCACTTCCCTGTTCTCTGCCAAAGGGCAATGAATGAGCATGACATAGCAGTCATGATAGTAAAGAGACCTGAGTACAGTGCAACACTTTCCAGAATCCAAAGCTCACCACATCACTTGGTAGGAAAAGCAAAGCTTGAGCTTGCGGCGAAAACAGTAACAGAGGAAGCCAGGGCTTCATTAACTTGCATGCGATATGAGGACTCACAAGGAGCCCTTGATCACTATGAATTCATTTACTTACAGCATGTTTAATTCAAAAATAAGAGCCAAAAGAATGCTGTCAGTCGGGTTGTTCAATGCTGAACCCAAAATCACGAGTGGGTCATGTATACTGAAAATACTGATGTAGTCTGAATATTAATCCTTTTGAGGCTTGGCCGGTTAATAATGCTCATTAAATCACTAAATAAGTCAACAAATATTTCATACATGCATGTCTTTGGGAGCGTCACATGAAATCGCTGATTTTAAATATTAATGAAGATGTTGCAAAGTGTTTATCATATTAATGTTGCGAACCTTAGTACCTTTTCCCCTTAAGGGGTGCATATTATTACCTTAAAGGGATAGTTCATCATTAAAGGCCTGTTCACACCAAGAATGATAACTATAAAAGTAACTATATTAGCATCTACACCAATGCACAATAACATTCTGTTTATTATAAGCTTGCACTGCAGTTTTGTCGTCTGCCTCTATATATGCATGCAGCTCTTTAAAAGCAGGATGGATTCTGATTGGCTGTCAATGTTTTTATAGTTCATCAGCAGGAAAAAAAATCATTCTGAAAGTGATTCCAATGATATTGTTCCTCTGTGGTGTAATCGTTAAAGTTATGGTGTGAACCCCGCTACTCTCTTAAATTTAGAAAGATTTGTAGAACTTTATCTTTATAGTTATAGTTATTGTTCTTGGTGTGAACAGGCATTTATTCCCCCTCATGTTGTTCCAAACCTGTATAACTTTCTTTCTTCTGCAGAACACACACACACACACACAATGTCTCATTGTATTTTTGTCTCTACAATAAAAGTTAATGGGCTCCAGTGTTGTTTTGAACCTCACTGACTTCCACTATATAGACTAAAAAGATTGAAATATTCTTCAAAATATCTTTCACATAATTCGACAGAAGAAGGAAAGTTCTACAGGTCTGGAACGACATGAAAGTGAGTAAATAAGAAGAGAATTTTTATTTTGGGGTATCTCTTTAAGGTACTAACATGCCGTTTTTAGGGGCGGATAATGTACAAGATGTTTGCACATTTTTTTCAACAGTGAAACGATTTTTCCTCACTTTTTAATTTAGAGCAGAGCATGGATCATTTGTCAGATTGATTTTAGATCATATCATTCCTGCAGTCCTGTTTGTGTTATTGATTTATGTTTTGAAACAGTTTGTACACACAGCTGGCCCTCAGTCATTAATAACTGTTAGCGTTTATATTTATGCAGAAACGAACAAACCTTTTCCTAACAATCAATCTGGTGGGTTTGTACACGCATGGCTTTACTCACTAAAGAATGTAACCAAATGTGTCGTGCAATGTGCTCAAAACCTGTTTAAATTTTCAACACGTATGTCTGTTGATCTAAAGGCTTTGTTGAATCTTGCCAAAAGATCAGAGACACGTGTGCGACTGTCTCACACTGGTGTTTTGTCAAAGACTTTTGATGAGCTCATCACGGGAGAGCGCATAGAACAGAATGGATCATAAGAGGATTGTACATCTGTTAGTGTGCTTCAGTCAATAAGAAGTTGTTTTTAGTTTCTTTATGTAAATCATAAATGGTTGTAATCCAATGTCAATGATAGGCTCTGATCTGCTTAGTATGACAATACATTTGAGATTACAGTGATGAGATTGCAGTTCTGACCATCTCTTCCACAATAGTGTGGCATTCTTCAAAAATGTCTGTCATCCTGTTTTATCATCAGTGCAATGTAAGAAAACCACACCAGCAACTATTTTTTGGACTGAAATGCTAAAAACAGCTTTGGCTGCAGCTGCCCATTTATTGACCGTGATAAGCTTGTGGGCGTCAGGGGAGGCCGTCTGTTTAAAAAACAAACGTCCAGACTAATTCAACTCTTTTTAAAGAACAACACATAGTATGATGGTAACCGATACAACCTCATGCGAGAAGCATTTGTGGCCTTTTGAACTAAATTGACAGAAAATAGGTTTGACCAATATTATTCACGCTTTTCTACTTAAAGGTCATTATGAAACGGAAGTAGCGACCAACCTTTTCTTCCGTATTGTTTGTGACCTACATCCGAGTGAAACGGATTATCGAAAAAGAAAATAAAGTACCAGAGGATCAAATTATGACATTTCGATTAAAATCATGTCAAAAAATTATAAAAAATAAAACATGCTTGGTTGAATTTTCACAATAACTAGCATTAAGAAAATAGATAGGGTACATTTTTATTTCTTGCCATCTTTCATGTTACGAAACAGCATTTTAACTTTAGAATTTAGACATAATTGAATCTCAAAAACATTTTTGTTCCATTTTGGGAAAATTTCACTGAATTTCAATGAACGCTTAATTTACATAAATATTTACTTGATATTCTCTAAAATATCTGAAAATAGAAAATGTGAATTAAGACTTATTAACAGCCAATCAAGTACAGTTAATGCTGGTACTGACAATGTAAAAATGTCAACCGATCAATCACCCTGCCAATATCGGAGTATATTACTATTTATGGATCATTAAAACTATTTATTAATTTTGTAGTCTAATATATATATAAAGAAACAATATCGGTCGATATGTATTCAGAACTATGTCTAAGGTAATCCAAACAGACGAGTAGTTATACTGTAAGGTCATAATACAATTATATAGCCTACATAGGCTATTAAAAAGAGCGTTCCTCCACATCCTTATGAAACAATGTAGCAAAAGCCACATCTGTGAAGAGAAACATAACGGACAGCTGGAGGAGAGCAGGAAACCTCAGAGGGAAATGAAATTCAGCTTTTAACTCTTCATGATCTCCGAGCAGCGGAGAAGAGGGGAAACAAGCAAACGTGTCCACATCTTGAAATCATCAGATCTTCTTTCAAATGTAGTTATAATAGTGCGACGGATGCATGATGCAAGCACTATCAATGATTTTCAGTTTCATTAATGTTTTATATGACACATCAATAGCACACTCAGGTCAATATCTGACTTAAAATAACCTGACTTTCCACAAATCTGTTGTACTCACCCATTTATGAACTTGTTTACACGGCGTGTTTGTGTAGGATGTTTTTCAATGTAGAGAAAAAGACAGAAATCCGCTACTTTCGAGAGATGCAGCCCCCGGGTCGGAAATACTGCAAATAGTCACTTAAAATGAAAGAGGAACGCGGCTTCTAATCATATTTCTTACAGATGATTCTGCCCCTCATTAAAAAGAGCAAAAAAAGGCAGGGGCAACAACGCAAAGGGGGAAGAAATGATGTGGATGTTGCCCCAGCCGTGAAGCACTTTACTACAGTGTTGCCTCCGTCGCTTATGAACTCCAGCTTGCCGTCACTGCGCTCAGTGGCGCTCATGAACCGAAAGTTCTCGCGAGAACTGGAGGGATGCGCTGTAATGATCGAGGCCATCAAACGGGATTTTCCGCTGATTTACAAACAAATACCTTGGGCCTGCAAATTGCAGGTAATTGTTTCTAAAAAAAAAAAAGATGATGTGTCCTTCTGAGTACATATGGACTGTTTTTAGGTTAAGGTTTACGCGATAATTATAAAGCTTAATCAATTAAGTGTAAAATATTTGGTTATTTTTTAACTTTAAAGTGTTTGTTTGAAAGGAATGTAAACTGTAGGGAGACTTGGCAGTTTTGTTTAAACGTCTGAAATGGTATGCCAAACTTTGATGCAATATTCCCAAATTTGTATGCTAAATCTACTACCTATTTCTAAACTGTGTAATGTCAAAGAGGGATGTTGTTACAACATGTAACACTTAGATATGAACTTATGCTTTCCTTAAATGATTGTATATTACAACTCACCCGTATATAAAATGTTGTTTTATACGAACATTCTGGTTGATTGGACCTTGGCCAATAATTACAGGTATATTTTAGAGCAAGGATTCATTTCAACTTACAAATGAGCTCTAAATTATTTGTTACCCTGTGTGAGCTTGCAAATTTCCTGTTATACTGTTTCCTTTAGTCTCTGCTGCCACCCTGTGGCTTGTTTAGATACAACTGCCAGTTTGAATACATTTTTGGCCATGCCTCCTTAATGAATAATCAAATATAAAAGATTCATTTTTTTTTTTTCAGTACTTGTGTTATTCTGCTTGGCTTAAGTCAGTGAACTTGCACTGGGCTTTCCCCTGTTGTGTTTTAGTGTGGTTTAACTGACTGGATCCAAGCTCTATTATAGCACTATTAATGCTGGGATAACTACTGATCACATAAACACACAGAGACAGAGGAATGTGCTTTAGACAGCAGAAAGTGCAGTCAGCTGCTGTGGACTAATGGTGTGGAATCCAAGAGAGAACAGACACACGATAGCAACAGAACACAAACAGAACAGAGACAGACTGCAGGTGAAAGGACTGAAAGAGGAAGAAAAAGTCTGCCAGAGAATGCTTTAGGCATCAACATGCCTTTTTTTCTTGGCTGTTTATCTTCACAGTCCAACAGTCTACTCGATATCAAAGTAAGATTTCAGATTTGGAGTATTTTAGGGTTACATTGCTTGCTCACCAGTGGATCCTCTGCAGTGAATGGGTGCCATCAGAATGAGAGTTCAAACAGCTGATAAAAATATCACAATAATCCACAAGTAATCCACGTGGCTCCAGTCCATCAGTTAACGTCTTGTGAAGTGAAAAGCTGCTTGTTTGTAATAAACAAATTCATCATCAAGATGTTTTTATTTTCAAGTCCTCTTTCCATAATATTGCCTTCTCCAGTAAAAAAAAGTCGTCTTGTCTGAACCAGGAGATAAATATGCACAGATCCATGGAAACAGTCTAAAACTGTTCTAGACAAATATGTTGGTGGATTTTAATGTGAGAGGATAACAGGGGATGGACTTTTTCATTGAGGAAGTGTTATTATAAATTATGGACTCGTATTTTGGTCAGAAACAATGGTTGTTTCTTACAAAGCTTTTAACTTTACAAGATATTATTTGATGGACTGGATTTCTTTGTGGTTTATTGTGATGATTTTATCAACTGTTTGGCTCTCATTCACTGCAGAGGATCCAATGGTGAGCAAGTGATGTAATGCTAAATGTATCCATATCTTTTCTGACAAAGAAACATTTACATCTTAGAAGGCCTGAGTAAATACTTATTTTCAGCAAATTTTCATTTTTGGGTGAACTGTTATACAACTAAAAATTGTATCTACTGTTCTACTGAAATGACTGCAAGATCAGACCTTAAACTTATTTTATTTTAGATAGTTTCCAAGGCTACATTTCTTATTATGAATAAAAATGACAAAACACACAACAAAATGACTAAAACTTTAACTAAAATTTAAATGGAAACTTGAACTTAAATGACACCTTAAGCCAGGTGTCTCTGTTTAAACTGTGCCTTTGCTGTTGAAAGTTCTGCGACAGAAGGAAATCTTTGTCTTGAACCTCATACAATGGAGGCGAGAAAGGGCATTGAAATTCGACCACATTGTTAATTAGGCTACTCGAAATAAAAACGTTGCCTACATGAAACACAAACGTCTGTGCTTCTGTTTCACATACAGTAAATTATGAAAGTAAAAATGTCCTCACAATGTAGGAAAAACAGGAATCTGCTATGGAGAAAAAACTGCAGTTCAGACGGCTAAATTAACACATTAAGCGAAGTCTTAAAAATAAACCTAAAGTCTTCTGTGTTGTTTAGGGATAGGGGATAGAAAAAACCATTTGCGCAGTAGACTACAATAACATAATACGTCAATGGAAAGTCATGTGTGCGTGATTATTAGAGATGAGATTACATTTGTGATTGTTTACTAAAATGTGTATCAAGTTTCATAGTTTCAGGCATATGAATATATTTTGTAACATTTATAACCTTCTATGAAACACTTAAGAGGAAAACAGAACGTCAGTTGAACATCTTTCGGACACGAGATTCACCTCAGCCACTATTGTGACTGTTGAAACGTTTACAAACAATCTTTGGCCATGTGGCGTTTTTAGAACTCTGGTACTTGTAGTCTCCTGTGCCTCTACCGTCATTCCTTCAGCCTGCATTGACGACTACATTTCCCAGAACTTCTGCGTCATCAGCTGATTGCCGCTTGTTGTTTTTCGGACGTGATGATGGCAATAAAGCACCCAGCGGACCGTTTTTTGCCAGACGATCTGTTGGGCTCACTGCTGGAATAGAGATGATCGCCGACGGGTAGACAAAGCACACTTTTCCTTGGCTGATTTTTACATTTTAGATACTGACGAGACTCATAACAAACTCTTCACATTTTAAACCGGTAAATTTATGATTGTTATATTGTGAAGTTTATTCTATTCTATTATATTCTATTCAGTAACCGTTTTGTAGCTATGATAATTTAAAATGTATGAGTATGAAACAGATCTTGTGATTTCATTAAAAAAAATATGTATTTATAATGTATGTATTTACATATTGCAGTGCCGCGCAAACTACAAAAAATATTATTTGTTCACTGTTATCTAAAATTCTTGATATCGAGGTAGGCTATCTGTTGTTAACAGTGAGGCATAACTGCGACACAAAAATTATGGTCTGCCTTTTTGGGACTTTTGGCTAAGTATGCTATAAATATGTTTTTAATAACCGTTTATAAGTTAATGCCATTTGACTTAATAATTTCGTTATACCTGACATTATTCGCAGTTTAGTGGTATAGCAAATATATATATGATTATTTTGTCAGTCGACACGTGCTGGCAGGTCCTTTATTGAAGTAGATTTTGTTGACGTTCCCTAAGTTCTTTGTTTCGATCCACTTGTTGAATACGGAAGTGACCGCTAGAGAGCAGCAGGACCAATAGGTTTATAGGTAATGTGTGTCACGTTTGCTGGCAACATGGCAAAACTTTGTTGACATGATACTGTGTGGTTGTGACATTAGCTACTACTTCATGTTTTGTGCATTTAGCCTGAAAATCTGCATAAGCTTTAGTTGTTGTTTCAAGCATATTTTAATTTCTTAAAGCATGTTTTTATATTTTATGTAACCACTTAAAGGTTACAAAAGCTATGACTCAGAAATGTGACTATCTGTCATTTTATATAATTATAACAAGTTCATGAATTTCCTGATTAAAATAATGTTTCTCTTTTTAATTTCAGCTGAGGCACCATTTTAGTCTGTTGTCTACAAGGCCTTGGGCCTCATTTGTCTAAAAGCAATGGTACTTATTCTGGGCAGAAGACTGAACCGGGAGGACTCTGGAGTCCGTGAGTCCCCAGCAGTGAAGCGAAAGGTTCTGGAGATGGACAACAAGTCCCTCAGTAATCACGATGTGTTTGATTTCTCCTCCGGCCCGTGCCACTCTGAGAGCATTCTGCAGATGTTTAATGAGTTCCGTGACGGCCGACTCTTCACAGACGTGGTGATCAGCGTGGAGGGTCGTGAGTTCCCATGTCACCGTGCCGTGTTGTCGGCTTGCAGTAGCTACTTCCGTGCAATGTTCTGCAATGACCACCGGGAGAGCCATGAGATGTTAGTGGAGATCAACGGCATCCGTGCTGAAGCCATGGACACCTTCCTGCAGTACGTCTACACCGGACGTGCCCGCATCACTACAGATAACGTGCAGTTCCTCTTCGAGACCTCCAGCCTCTTCCAGATCGGCACTCTGCGTGATGCCTGTGCCAAGTTCTTGGAAGACCAACTTGATCCCTGCAACTGCCTGGGCATCCAGCGTTTCGGAGACGCACACTCCCTCAAGCAGCTGGCCAGCCGCTGCCGCTCTTACGCGCTGCAGAGCTTTACCGATGTGGCCCAGCATGAAGAATTCTTGGACTTGCGTAAGGAGGAACTGGAGGAGTACATTGCTAGTGACGAGCTAGTCATTGGAAAGGAGGAGACAGTGTTTGAGGCAGTGATGCGTTGGGTGTACTACGACATGGACCACCGCCGAATCATGCTTAGAGACCTTCTCACCCACGTCCGCCTGCCCCTGCTGCATCCGAATTATTTTGTACAGACGGTAGAAGGTGACCAGTTGATCCAGAATGCACCAGAGTGCTACCAGCTTCTGCACGAAGCAAGACGCTATCATGTCTTGGGCAATGAAATGATGTCACCTAGAACCCGTCCACGCAGGTATTACTGGCATCTTACCATGTTCCCTGAAGGTCTTTATTAAATTTACGACCTAGAAATGTTCACTAATGCAAGCACCAATCTAAGGCTTAGTCTTTAGCAGTTTAAACTACAGAAAGAGGAGACAGAAGAGTCTTCCATGCCTTGTCCCGAACCGTTTGTCCAATTCACTATCAAAAAGTTTGTTTACCATGACTTGACTTCAAATTTTTGGCCACC